TGTATATATATGTTTTATTAAAATTGTAGAAAGATAAAAAAGAAGCACTTGCTGTCTACTTTCTCTATTCCAAATTGTAAGTCGTCCTGGCTTTTCAAATAGATATATATTATGTCTAGATACATAGTAAAATATATGTATCTAGAAAATCTAGAACAACTTACAATTTGGAACCGAGGAGTAGAATATAACATACAACAACATTTAAAGGAAGAAATTTGACCAATTTTCTCAGCATCAATATGTGTATTCCCATTTTGTTACCAATGCATTTCTATTTTCAGCGAACATGGTGCGTCTCGATAACTATACGTTCTGAATAATTTGACCACGTATATCTATCTTCTAGGTTATCAATGCAGGGATATGCATTAAGAAATCAGCAATGGAGCATTCTGCAGAGGAGTATTCAATTGTTATGGCCACTAATCTTGAACCTGCATATCATTTGTCCCTACTTTCACATCCACTTCTGAAAGCCTCTAGGTCAGGCAGCATGTTTTCATATCTTCAATTGCCGGAGTGGTAGCCTTATTTAGCGGACCAATTTATGGAATGACTAAAGGTAACAGATACATTGCTATATACAGGTTGTTTCTTTGATATTTGCATCTCATGTTTGAGCAAAGTTTGTTCAGTGCATCTTTCATGAATAACTATGTTTGCGCATATTTTTAGCTGTCATGAACCAATTAGCAAAGAACTTAGCATGCGAGTGGGCAAAAGACAACATAAGGATAAACTCTATTGCGCCAGGGTACATCTCGACTTCACTTACAGAAGGAGTAAGGGTCTCTTTGCCACTACATCAATTGATCTTATTATGTTTTGGACTAGATCAGTGATTATGTGAGTTTATTATAGCAATTAAAAACATTTGTATTATTATCTCATATTTAAATTTACTTACTGCATATTACAATAAGCTTTAAATAGTCTATACCACTTCCCTCTGAGATTACCTGACCTTCATTAACATAATAATCATAGAATTGTCTGCATACATATGCTTCATTGCATAGTACCTTCAGAATATGCCATAGCTTTCAACATATTATCATTGGTGCAGTTGGAGAGTAAATAACTATACTCTGTAGTTGGCAGTAACTTTGATAATGTTACTTCTGTTAGATATGGTTTTATTGCAATATAGTGAACCCATATTTGTATAAGTTGCTATAAATATAATTGGCACAAAATAAATACACTTTTATTATGCACAAATTTATGTTTTGAATGTTTTCTTAGTGAAATATACTGTACATATTTGCATAGAATTTAGATGATTCTATACTATTGGATTGAGGCTGCATTGCCCAATTAACAAAAGATTTCAGTTCTAGTGATAGTTTGCAGTTGCTATGTTGTTTTGATTTATAATTTCAACTAACTGGACTATCTAAATGTACTAACTGAACAAAGTCACCCAATCCTTAATAGTTGAAAAATATACTATATCCCAATAATGTCTATAGTCAATGTTTATTCATAATTGTAATATAGAAGAATCTGATTTCTTTTATTATAAAAGAAGGCTCTTATTAATTCACAATCATTACATCGGGTTGATAAAAATTCGTGAACCCACTTCCGGCCTCTACATAAAAGCACACAGCCTGAAACAAAGATAAAGGAGATTCTGGCACTCTAATGACTATCAATTCTAAGACTAGATCGCCACCTATGTGCCTGGGAGAAAAACATCGTGATCACTTACGCTAATCGTTGCAATGCCGCTGCAAAAGCCAGTAAGTAAGCTTCTTTAGCCAAGTGCGGAGCCAACGGATAACTGAATGTATCATCTAAAAAGGAGAATAAACATGTTACTTTTCTAACACCAAATTATTTCTATATATCCAAAGCGATCAACAAGTAGTTGCCGCCCCTAGAACAACTAAAGGTTTTACCTCTCTTCCAAACCCCCGAAGCCAACTCCCAAACATATGATAAATAATACAAGGTTGAGAAAAGCTTAAAGCAACATGTATGCAGCTCTAAACCGCATGGGCAAAAAATGACATTCAATGAACCTGTGCTTAATTGTCTCATTTTGTGACAAAAACAATAGTTTTCACTACGCTGCCAATTGCATTTGGCTAAGTCACCGTTTGTTATAATCACTCCTCTACAAAGATACGAAAGAAATATTTTGATCTTCAGTGAAGCCTTTAACCTCCAAACGATGTTTAAATTGGGAACCTCCATGTGAGTTATAGCTTAATAATGGGATTTCACCGAGAACTTCCCCTTTGGGTCCAAGTTCTCCACTGAACACATCATTCTCTTGTATAAGTCTAATATTAGCAATGCGTGAAAGAAGTTCATTTCAAGCCACTAATTTAGGTCCAATCAAATCACGCCTCCATGAAATGTTTAGGGGTGATGTGCCAAAACCCTTAGCTATAGTATCTTGCTTGTATCTAGCGATGATATATAAGCAAAGATATTGTTCCTTCAGAGGTGACTATCTTAACCACTTATCCTCCCAAAATCTCACTTGGAACCCAACCTTAATTGTGAAGGATCCAAAACGGAGAAAATCTTGTTTCAGATGTACGAAATTTTTTCCTGCTTCCTAATGCTAAATCTATAGCTAAGCTGTACCTGTATGTGAAATTCGTTGTTTTGTATGAATATGCTGAATTCATCTTCTTCTCGTAGCCAACATGCATATGTTCCCGCCACACAGTAACACAGGACCTGCAATATCTTGAGGAAAAGACATGAGGCCTATCATTTTGTTTTCTTTATTTGTGCAGGTTTTTTCAAACAAGGAATTGAGGGACAATATCTTGAGCCGAGCTCCACTCAGGCGTGCAGGAGAACCAGAGGAAATATCTTCTATCGTTGCTATTCTTTGCATGCCTGGTTCGACGTATATTACAGGCCAAACGATTTCAGTTGATGGAGGCATGACTATTAATGGGTGTTTCCAACTCCGAAAGAAAATATGTTCCTCGATGTCGTGGAAACCACCACTGCTAATGAAATTCATCAAAGTTAGAATAAACAGAGCTAGCCGTATAGGGTGCACAATTACACTCTAGCCTTTCTGTATTCTGCATGAACCAGACATTGTATTCTATAAGAACAAGAAGTATGAACTAATCTGTGGTACTGAAGCCCTAAAAGTAATGTATTTTTACATTTTCACTTTCTCTGCAATTGTATTGCTTGATAAACTCACACATCGAATTCCTTTTTTTGTTAAAAATATAATTAAGATGGTTATCTAAATGAATTTAGAATAACATTTATTTATGCGACTATTGGATGAATTAGTGATTCAAGGTTGGAAAATTAAGTTGAAGCCTGTAAAACTTAGCCACAGAGAAAGTATCCTTTCTTGCAATATAGATCACTAAAATAGACTTATTGTACGAGCAAACATATTTTGATAGATTTATTGTACGAGCAAACATAGATCGCTGACAATATCTAATTAAAATAGAATTTTGATAGATTTTTTCTTCTGTTTATAGAATTTTTTAATCATAAACATATTATAGCTTAAGTTTCTTACTACCCAAATGTTTCATTAGTTGGACCATTGATTTTCTAGATTTAATAAAAAAAGTTTGGTTTGTACTCATAAACACATCAACAATTTGGTGGGGAATTTTTTTGTTTATTATGGAAGGATCAACTGTTCAAAGGTCTAGTTTTAAATGGGTAGTGGCAGTGGTCCTATCACTAACGAGTCTATGAACCGGCAGTGGTAGATAATTTCATCACTGTCGATTGCCCTCTACTGGGTTTAATTCTAGAAGTGCTGTCGGGTTTGAACCAAGCAATGATCCGTGAATTTGAACTAGTGAAACACTGGGATATAGCCGTGATCCTTTGCGTGGTTCTTGTGTGAGGGGTTGTCCGGTTGATGCCCTTCAATGTTTTTAAGTCGTCCGATTAATCGCGATTACTCGTTCTAATCGGTTCCTGGTGTTCGATTAGGAGGTCCGACTCAATTAGCTCGACCAGAAAGCTGATCGTTCGATTAGTCGACGACTAATCACGATTAGTCATCCGACTAGGCCATCGACGACTAGTGTGGTTGCTCTGTTTTTTGAGCCTGTTCAACCGGGCCTATATGTGGCCTATTGGGCTTCCAATTTGGCCTATTAGGCTTAGAATAGGTACCCAAAACACCGAAGGCACGCAGTCATGGTGGCAAATGCAGGGCGGCCCCAATTTTTCCCCGCGCGCCTCCACTCTCCCACGCGCGTGTTTCCTACCTCCTGTGCGCGATTCCTCCCCTTCCCGCGCGCGATTCCCTCTCTCTTGTGAGCTATTCCCCTCTCTCGTGTGCTATTCTCCTCCCTCGCACGTTATTCTCCTCTCTGATGAGCTGTGAAGCCAACGACGCCCTCTGCCAGGTCAAGTGGCCACGGTCTTTGTGATGAGCTGCTCTGACGACGGTATGTGCCTTTTCCCTCTCTATCTTCTTCCCTCCTCCCCCATCCCTCACTCTGCAGCCTCTCTGGCTCTCTGCTAGACTGCTAGGTTACTTGCTGTGCTATACTGCTATCCCTCTGCTATTCTCTGGTTCTAAAGGAAAGAGAAGCAATCCACTCTGCTAAACTAATCGGCCTGGTCAACGAGTAATTGCGATTAGTCGCCTGGTCGGTCCCATGGTGACTAGGTTCGACTAGACGACTTGAAAACATTGATGCCCTTCAAAATAGCTCTAGGGCCAGAGGCACAGATCTGAGCTCCAGACACTCAGAATCATCGGCCTGGGACTGGGAGGGGCAGAGCGCCAAGCAAAGCTGCCTGATATTCAAACCATGAACGCTGGCCTGGTCGGCAGTGAAGCAGCGATACAACGATTAGCAATACCCGATCCAGAATAATTGTCCTTTTGTTATCTTCAAAGAAGTAGCATTCGTTTTACAAGACATACCTGAACATGAGAACTATTGTACAGAAAGAGTACTAGGGAAAACATTCCTTGTACATTTATTTTGCTACTGAAATCAAAACTGTTCCTGAAGTATGGTCGATCAGAGATTGAGCAGGCACCTCAGCGACTTGCCTTCCTCCAGTAACTGGAAAGCTTTGTTGATGTCCGAGAATGGCATCTTGTGTGTTATGAACCCATCGAAGTTTATATTGACCTCCTGAACATTTGAACAAGAGGTAAGACAATGACCATGCAGTCAACACTAGGTGACATCTGTTTCGTACGTCCGAACAATAGCATTCTTAATTATTGCAGAAGGAAAAGTGTCGATCAGAGATCAGAGATGCTAATTAGATTAGAAATGAAAAGATAATAATGGTAAAAAAGCCCGATTTTTAGGGAGGAAATGCACGCAGTCAGCGAGCTACGTACCCCGTTGACGCACTTGTCGACGAAGTCGGGCAGCTGGGACTTGCCCTTGAAGTCGCCGAAGACGCAGCCGATGATCCGACGGCCGTAGAGCTCCATCGGGTGCAGCGGCACCATCTTGGGCGTTGAATGGATCCCTAGCATCACCGTCAGGCCCCAACCCTGCATATTTTTTATTTTTATTTTTTTGTGACACGTGGTTTTAGACTTTTAGTAGGAGTTCCGATGAAAGGAGAAAAAACAGGTTTGGGTCTCACTGGGCCAAATAATGTACCGGGCTATATTGTTAGTGGGCCAATTAGCGACGGTATTGGCAAGGAAGGAGACATGAGAATGGAAGGAACAGGAAAGCACAACTTACATCATGCGTGGACAGGAAGGCCTCTCGCAGCACATCATTGATCCCGGTACACTCAAAGCTGTAGTCTACACCTCCATCCGTCATCTCGCTGATCACCTGCACAATCAGTTTTCAGTGTACCGGCCGTAGAGTGTCACATACAGATACAGATGATACTAGTGTTCTCTTGTGATCATACAGAATAACAAGGCTGATAAACATTTTCACTGCAAAAAGGAGAAAGAAATGGCGTATGTACCTCATGGACTGGCTTGTCACAAGCCTTAGAGTCGACGAAGTCAGTGACACCCATCTCTTTACCTGGACACACATTTCATTTCCAGTCAGTGTATGATAATCTCATAAACATGTTCTCCGGTAGACAATGGCACTAGTACTCTTCCAAAATTGAAAGCCATTGCATTCCAAATAGTGAGATGGCGCCAAAATTCCACATTTCCAAACAAGCACGTCAAGTTGTACACTATTGATCATCAAGACGATGTGCACTATGTACCACAGTTTATTGAAAAGAAGAAGAAAAAACAATCAAGAGACGGGGGTGTGGGTGTACAAGCCTCCAAATCTCCAATCAATTCACAAGAAGGACATTATTTTCTTATTTCTGCTGACAGACAGCACGCACCAGGTGTTTGGGATTTATTCTGCTGGCAATTTTACATCAATTGGTAGCAACAATTCTACATATGGATCGTTTTAGGAGAATTTTTGGGCAGAGGTCATCAGTCTAATAGTAAAAGTTTTGATGTCATTTTGTTCTTTTAAACTTCAATTAATTGTTCAAAGATCACTCCATTGCTGGACACAAAATGTACCTCTTACAAATCAACAGATCAATTGAGATTGAGACATAGCATGGGTGCTCTGTGTGAGGCTAGTGGCAAAACCAGACTTATTCTGTTTTGCTCCCGGTTGCATCATATGGAAAATGACATCCTGATTGTTGAAATTGACAGGCTAGATGTGTTCCGTGGGTGCATGTGCATGTTTCTACTTAATTAACATTATCAACAAAAGAAAATCGCCTTTGTTTAATAGTGTACTAGAAATGTTGCCTTCACGGTAGAGTAACTCTGCTTTGTCTTCTCCATATATATGTTCTTTAACCACGGGTGCATTGAATATTCATTCATGAAATCAGCAACCAATTTCTTCCCTTATTTCAGACATGAGGAAAAACAACTTTATGTCCAGAAAACAAAAAGGGTAAGCAGTAGATGGGAAACGAGTTCAAACGGTTGGCAAGTCATAGCTCCAGTTTTCCTCCCTTTCATGTTTTTGTCAGTTTGAAAAGCAAACACAGGAACCATCCATGGGACTTTACCTAGGTGTCAAGTCACTAAGTCATGCTGTGCACAGGCATTTTGTTTGCTAGATCCAGAGGGTTGCGAAAATGGCTAAAGAAGAATAAGGGTGCAAAAAGAGAGAAATAATGGAAACGACGTGGCTCAGCAGTTAGCACGCACCTTTGGTGAACTTTGCAGGGTTTACATCAACGCCGATGATCCGAGCTGCCCCTCGTAGCCTGGCACCCTCAGCAACCTATTAGAAAATAGATGAACAGATTTATGGTTATCCAGATAGATATAACTTAATCAGGTAAATAAATTCTTGTGTAATTAAGTTGAGGGAAAAACATATATACTGACAGCAAGACCAACAACGCCCAGTCCAAACACTGCAACAGTTGATCCAGCAGAAACGTCTGCACTGTTCCACGCAGCTCCCACTCCTGCTGATGCCAAAAACATAGAAGAAACGGAAATTATATATGGTTCCGCAAAACTGGTCTCATTTGTATTTTGCTTGCATGTGAAATTTGCGTTGCTTTGCATGGATGTATCACACATGCATAATTCCACGGATTTAATTTTCACAACTAACTAACTAATGAAGCATACTAGTACTAGAGGACGATGTTAGTTGGTTGTTAATTTGACCACCTGTGGTGATGCCGCAGCTGAGGAGGCACATCTTCTCCAGCGGGGCCTTGGGGCTGATCTTGACTGCGCAGGCCGCGTCAAGCACGGTGTACTCGGTGAAGGTGGAGGTATTGAGGAAGTGGAACACCGGCTGCCGCACGCCTGACTGCCGGTCCACCACGGAGAACCTCGTGCCATTGTCATGGACCATGGTAGTCTTGAAAGGATCCACACGGTAGGTTCCGCAGAGGTTTGTCTTGTCGGACTTGCAATAGACGCATTTTTCGCACTCCCCGGTGAAGATCGGAACTACGTGGTCTCCAGGGGCCAAACCTTCTACTCCTTCGCCCACGCTCTCCACCACTCTGTAATGTAAGCAAGTCAGTCAAGTGCTGCTAGCTATCACACAAGTCAAAACACTAGCAACAATAATGAGTGGACGGAGTGGAATCAACTGTTTCATTACTTCAAACTAAAAGTATGTCTTTTTTTTTTAGGAATCAAACTAAAAGTATGTCACTCTTGAGAATTTGCAATAAAGTTTATTTTTCGCCCCCGTTAAATAAATAACAAGAAAAGCTTGCTGGGGCAAACCAAGAGCCAGAGGGTCAGATCTCCCTTCCATGGAGCCATCGGGCGGACCATCCCGAAGCCCAATGGCAAGCATGTGTGAGAGCTGGTCATCGTTGGCGTTGGTCCTCTCCATCTGCCAACGCCCAATTGATTGCCAATAAATTATTAGCTCTCTATGCAATTGGTGGTTAGCCTATTCGCCATGCATAGATCGATCGATCCAGGATCCAGACACTATTAAAAACAAGATAGATCTTTCTTGGCTTGTCGCTAATATTTTCTGTTTTTACTAAATATACTACCCCTATCCCTAAATAAATTAAATACTAAAATTGTTTTAAGTTAATTTTTTTATATTTGATCAAATTTATTAAAAAGGACAACGGCGTTTATGACACCTAATGAACACATAGTGTTCCTAATGATACAAATTAAATTTAGTGTCATAAATCTTGACGCTTTTTCAATAAATTTAGGAATTGATTTATTCAGGGACATAGAGAGCTTGTGGGTTGTGCACAAATTAAAAGGCGAGGCAATGAAAGAATCTCGTCATATTGCAAGATTTGTAGTCCAAGACCGGAGTTCCCAAAGAGCTCAATTTTCTGAGAAAGACCATTGTTAAAACATTTTCTTCAAAAATATGCAGAAAAGTTAAACTTGTTAGCAGAACCTTTGCTAAAACAGTTGAATAAGCTAATACTCCTACTACTATAACTGTGATAAGGTCAAAGCTTGCTCGCTCATTTATGTGCAAATCTGCCAGGCACACACATGTCGAAGTGGCGTGTGCATGCGGGCGCTCAATAGCGGATCTATGATTTTTATGTAGGGTATGCCGGATTAAAAAAAAATTATATCTAAACCGGTGAAAACCATTTAACAATTCGGTAAACTATCATAAAAATTGCTCACAATCCAATATAGAATTACCAAATCTAACATATAATAAGTCAAATTACAATACAAATAGTTCACATGCATTTACTAAAGTCCATTTACCAGCTCACTAAATAATCTTTGGACGGTGACCGCTAGGCAAATCAACGCCAAGATTATTCTTGCAAGTGCAATATTATGCAGACATTAAATGGCAAACCCTTTCGCAGTATCTAGCCTCGACGCCATGCCTCCACGGCTCCGCCTCCAGCAGTCCAGCCTCCGTGTGAGGCGCGATGCTGCCGTGACAGCTGACCAGCCGACGACACTTGGCCTCCGAGGCCGGGGCTCAGCGACTCAGCGTGACTGCATTTGAAGCGCGATCGTCCACTTGTCTGTCGGATCCGCGCACGATCAGACGCCCAATCTCAGTGAGTCGCAAAGCCGGAGACTCCATACCCAGTACTCAACTAGTCGATGACTAATAGGGAATACTAGGATAGTGGTGACCGTGACAAGCAAGTAAATCCTGCTTGCGCGGAGGTGGGGACTCCATACTTGCGACGAATGTGTGATTGACTGAGTTTGTGTTTACAGTATATATATACTCCTATATTTAGTACTTTGCACGGCTCGATCGCAGGGTATGCCGTGGCATATACGGCATACCCTGTAGATCCGCCCATGCGGGCGCTGACGACCATTGGACCCGCAAATTCGTGGTAGGAAGTCAAGAATTCATGGCACCTTATTTCTCCAAAACCCCAAATTAGACTGGAAAATTGAAACAAAACAACCCTGGAAGACACGTGAATTTATATTTTCACCCTTGAAAGCTAAAATTCAAGACCAAGCCCCGACATCCAATCCAGGAAGTAAACGTAACGGCAGTCAGTAGGTGCATTAACTCCTTTTAAATGCTCCTGTCTATAAAAATTTTGGACAGTAAAGTGTTCACAAGAAATACATGGGCACCGAAGTCAACTGTAGGACTCAAAACTCCGGTAAATCTCAGTTTCTGAACTCACGTCATGTGAGGACGGAGAGGGGGTGGCTAAAGAGCCACACAAAAAAAAAAAAACCCGAAGAGCATGAGTGGAAAAGAGGATTAAAATTACGCACCCGGCTGCCTCATGTCCCAAGATGCGAGGGTACTTGCGGTGCACCTTGTTCTGTGACGTCCATAACAGATTAACAGGCAGACAGACAGCACCGTCGTCACATGGCAGCACATATAAATAAGAAATACGTAGGTTAGTCGAGGGATAAAGTAAAGAAATCAAATCCCAATCCAAGAACATGGAAGAATGAATAATGTACCTCTCCTTTCCAGGCGCTGAGGTCGGTGTGGCAGATGGAGGTCAAGAGCACCTTGACGCGGACCTCCAGAGGCCCAGGCGGCGCCACCTCCACCTCCTCCAGCGACAGCGGCACTCGGGGACCCCACGCCACCGCCGCTGCATCACGACCTAAACTCAACTACGCATGCCGACCGAGCCGCGCCCCCGTCGATGCAAAAGAGCGGAAATGAAAAAGAGAAGCCGCAGGCAACAACACCTTTGCATTTGATGGCCTTCCCACGGGTGCCGCCGGCGCCGCCGTTCCCGTTCGTCATGGCGTCGTCTTCGTCCTGATTCTCCCCCTGATGCCTTTTTTTTTCTTTTCTTTCAGGGACAGGAAATCGTCTTCTTGGTTCTAGTGACGTGGCCAGCCGGCGTGTCCAGCTATGCAGGCGTAGATGATCTTTTTTTCTTGTCATGTTGCTCTATTATACTTACTGTATGGTCAAAAGAGCGGTGGGCCCTCCAGTGTGCTTCTATAAGCCTGGCTGGATCCATGTAATTAACATATATAGATAAAAATTTTCTGGAGTAGATCTAAATGCAAGCAAGGTTAATGTGCCAGCCAATTGTTAGCTGAGCACCTACCTAAGAATGATCTTGTCGGCCGGCAATCCTAGCTAACATCAATTAATAGCTGATCTGTATGGTCAAAAGAGCGGTGGGCCCTCCAATGTGCTTCTATAAGCCTGGCTGGATCCATGTAATTAACATATATAGCTAAAAATTTTCTGGAGTAGATCTAAATACAAGCAAGGTTAATGTGCCAGCCAATTGTTAGCTGAGCACCTACCTAACAATGATCGCCCTCTTCGAACTTGTTTAGCTTATAAGCCATGGCTGAAAGTATTATTGGCTGGTTTTGTGTGAGAGAAAAATATTGTTCGTTGGCTGATAAGCCAATGACTTATAAGCCAAATACGACCAAGCGAACAGGCTGGATCTTATCGGCCGGCAATCCTAGCTAACATCAATTAATAGCTGATCAATTTACCGAAATACCACCATCAAATAACCATATCCCTTCTTAGAGCAAGGCTAATAATATAGCTTACTACCGACTGTATAGATGTTTACCACTAATCTCTCAGCCCACTTATATACTGACTGTACAGATCTTTACCGTTCATCTCTCAGCCCACTTATATATAGTAGTTAACCCTTCACTATTTATACATGACCCACTTATCACTCTCATAAAGTTTTTTGATTTTTATGTCTAAGCCTACTGTAAGCTTACAACATGCTTTTCCCGTCTCTACTCTCCTATCTCCTCCACCTAGCATATAGCCTACTTACATCCCTTTATTATACTTTATCTTATCCAACTGATTCCTTTCACAACCACCACTCCTATTCACATCCATCCACGAGTGTTGCTAAGGTCCTGTTTGGTAGAGCTCCACCAGTGCAAAAAAAACAAATTTGCTGAATCTACCGTGGAGCATCTCCACCGTGGATCTAGGATTCACAGAAGTATTTGGTACAACTTCACCTCCCTCTCTATCTCACTGCCAATCTGGGCCCACACGTTAGGATAAAAAAAAAAAAAAATACACAGCTTCTTCTTCCTCTTCTGCAGGAGGGCCGGCTGGGTTGGGGGCGGGCGCGGGGCCGGCTGAGGGGCAGTACAGTGCATGGTCAGCCAGAGCGGCGGCCGGTGCAGCGGCCGGTGGCGACACGAGGCTGACCGGCCCGAGGAGCCACTACTGCAGCAGACCTATAACAGTCGGTTAGTAACCCTCCATCATAGCCGGATTTCGGCCTCGATGGTAAACGGTCGACGGTGATAGTCTAGGTCCTCACTATCGGTTCACAGCCGACCGTGACAGACACTAAACACCGTCGCATTGGTCAATGAACCGCCTGTGTACTGGTCATGATCACCGTCGCCTTGCACCACAACCCGACTGTGTGCAGTGCGGGTTCACCGTCGCTTTGACATCCGATGCATCTATGTCGAGGTGAATATCACCGTCGCTTGGGTGCAACCGCTTGTGTATTGGTCATCATACCATCGCCTTACACAACGACCCAACTATGTGTAGTGAGGTAGGGTTCATGTCGCTTTAACGGCCGACACGTCTGTGTCGAGGTGAGCATCACCCTCGCTTGGCTGTATGGACCGTCTGTTCAAAGGTCATGGTCATCGTCGCCTTGCAGTACGATCCACATCTGATGATCCTATAGTCAGTGTTGAGTTACTAAACAATTCAAGGGTGATACACTTTTGATCTCGGCCACATCATACGTTTAGCGACAGTGTTGGACGTTTGCTTTACCAATGGCGAGTGCTATGCGGCGGCGGTGATGACAAAACAATCAACGACACTTGTATCCGATGATGACAGAATTGCATCAAGTTTTCACAATATGATACTAATTCAACTAGGCTTTAATAGCTTACTAAATACACAGCATACAGATCTAATCATTAAATCCACACACCACATCCAGAAACAAGAGTACTTTTTACAATAACAATGGACGCTAACATAATAACTTCATGAACTGAGATGTCCTGACACAAGCGGTATATAAATTGCATAATAAAGATACTGATCTATACATACTTACATAACGAAAATGACGTAGTTGTTCTCCTCCTATGTGGCACTCCTGCTTGCATGGCAAAATAAATATAATTAGTGCATCCTTCAGATTGAAAGCTATTGACAGTAGTTAACAACCATTATAAACCGTCAATAAAACATGTATACGGGCATAAATATGATCATCAACCAAGGTCTAGGGGGTTTAAACTAACAAGTTCCACGAGTTTTGGTGAATCTGTATTTTCTACAGGGTATATCCAGAAAACCACCAAGAGGGGCCTATTCGTCAAAAGAAATCATGGAATTCCACCGCGTAATCAACTTGGGAAGATTCTAGAAGACTCTAGGAGACTCTCCACCGAGGCGGGGCACGAGGCATAACATACTAAAGCAAAATAAAAAGTGTGTGTCTAGTTTTCTATTTTTAAGAGCTCAATAAATAAAAGACTCTGAGATAATCACTTGCAATAGAAATGATGAATAGTTGCTCTGTTGTAATTCCTTTCAAGTACCTAGTTTTTAGCCTTGAATTATCCCAAGTTTTGGATACGACTGTTTTGATATAAGAATTTATTTTGAACTTGAAACTCGTGGATAGCATATGCTTGATCTAAGTCTAGGTAATTGACGGATATGATATGAGAAGGTCTGAGCTGCTGTTTATCTTGTTCCAAGTGATACTAAAGTTCTAGAGATTTATCTTTTGAAAAACATAAAAATATTATATGATGAGCTCCTGTATGACAAGCTTGAATTCCTTCCATAGCCATATATGTTATTTAGACTAGGAAAAACCTCTACTCATATATGCTGCTTGCTTTTGCATTGAGTTTAGTCAAGCTTTGTTGACCCTTATGAGAGGTTTATCATACTCTTAAAATCAAGATCACGCACACACCACCCACATATGCACTACTCCTACACTAGGGGTAGACGCAAAAACATGCCATTTCATCTTGATCCATCCAAATATATTTTACTCCTACATTGGGAGTGAACACCAAAAATATGTCCTATAGGATATTTATCAAATAAATGCTTCAAGGTCTTATTGTTGTCTCTTAAAAGTTTTTTTGCAGAAAAGAAACATTGGGCTATACAAAAGTTATTCATAAAAAAGAAAGAAAAAAAGAGATGAGGAAAAAAATAAACAAGTGTCAGAGATATTGAAAACAATGGGTACTCCGATGTCCGCCTAAAAAAAAAGAGAAGAGATTAATAAGATAGCCCATGTTTTCTTACAAAGTTGTTTCCAATTTCAAAAGAGAGATATGTTTTCACGGAGCATAGTAGAATTAGGTTAGCCACCACATATATATCCACCATACATCCATACACATGCACATCTTGATTTTATTGTATGACTCGACTCTTTGTATCCGAGGTTTGACTTTACAATATATGTATTGCAAGTATGCTCTTTCATGCTTTCTCCACTCCTATGAGCTCCACATAAGCTTTAGTTGTAGGAAGAAAGGCATAACATCTCTATTGCCTTGGAGACGATCCACAAATACCACATATATTGAGAGCCTTGAGAGTGTCATACAATGGAAGCTCTTAGTTTTATTTTGAAAACCCATAAAAACTCTAGAATAATGGTTGAACAAAGAACTTGAGACATAGTGCTTGACTTGATTGTTTTGTCTTTCAATTGCTCAAGACCCAAGTGAAGGCTAAGAAGCCCCATGGTTAAAGGTAATATGGGTAAGTTTGAAAGTCAGATCGGTTTATTCTAATCCGGAGGAGAATTCTTGTTTTAATGCATGTGTACTTTTAAGGAGTTACTGCAATGTTTTCAAAAATCCTAAAACTCCTGATCCAAATTGCTGAGTTTAGCTTTGCTAAGGGACTAACAAAGGTTAAGCTTGGGGGAGCTTGTTGACGGTAGTTAACAACAATTATAAATCATCAATAAAACATGTACAAGGGCATAAATATGATCACCAACCAAGGTTGAGGGGTTTAAACTAACAAATTTCACGAGTTTTGGTAAATCTGTATTTTTTGAAGGGTGTATCCAGAAAACCACCAAGGGGGCCTATTCATGAAAAAGAAATCATGGAATTCCACCGTGTAATCAACTTGGGAAGACTCTAGAAGACTCCAGGAGACTCTCCACCAAGGCGGGGCAAGAGGCACTACCAGGTGGGGTTGGCTGGCCCCACCTACAGGCCATCTAGACCCTGGGGCCACCCATCAGCCCCTCGTCGCAATGTCAGTTTTCCACTGCCTCCTAGGTTGTGGCTCCACTGTTCTTTAAGTCGGTTTGATCCAGGGGCTCACGATGGACGCTCTAGCCTATATATACCAGCCCCTGCCACCCCTTGAGGCATTGATAAGTCATTTGAGAAGACAAAAACCCTAATCATCCTTAGAGCTCCACCATATTCTAAGGCATAGCTAGTTAGGCTAGGTCTAGAGGGAGGCAAGGAGGCTTCGATTGGATTCTCGATCATGTCAAGAGCGTGGTTTGGTATAATCTTTGTACCCCCTCTTTTGTATGTCCATTACTTTTATATGCTAGCTACAATTGTTATAACAATATCAGTATTCATCTCATTTATGTTCTTCATTATAATGTTCATCGTCTACTTTGATTATATGCTTAGTATAGTTGGATTATCATCATGTTCATGTATAAGTTCGTATAGCGCTCACTCTAAGGTACCATGGGTGGGCAGTCGACATTGTTTAAGCATGGTGCTTATACGTTGTTT